ACACATCTCCCATTGATCCTAGAGGGAACTGTATATATCCAGAAAAATACTTCAAGAATCTGAAAGATTTCATCAGCTATATGAAGGTACAGCACCTTTTCCCATGTACTATGTGCCAAAATGCCACCAGATTTCTCTGCAAACAAAAGGCGTGAATATTGCAGTGAAATTAACATGGTCAAACCTAATATTAAATGAAACAAAGATATAAATGATCACACTTGACAAACAATGGAATTTTTTTCTGTTGTTCTTTTATATCTTGTCTCCATAAGACAGAATGCCAGTATAAGAGGTAAGATTTTATTATTAATATCAGAACCTATGCAACCCTTACCTTTAGAGGTATACTTTTGTCAAAATCAGGGAAGTGAACAATCTTATTTATTTTTGACACATACAAGATAAGTATAGTGGCTGCCATCTAAACAAAGAGAAAAAACAAAAAGCCATGTAAAAGCAAAACTGTCATGTACAAATGAAAGAACTGCTTCAAAAACAAAATCTTTACATGCATTTGACAAATGCTAGGTATTATGCATTTCTGTTAAAGAATAATACAGAATGCAATTAATAAATTGGAATAGCTTTATTCCTATGAATTTGGCCAGTTATTTATTTTAAAGTATAATATAGACATATGCTTTACTAGCTTGAGAAAACTAGCGGCCCTCTGTAAAACAATGCATGCTGACAAGGAGCTGAGAAATTAAACAGGACAGGATCCCAGAGTAGTGATGCTATTTTCACAGAGTGCTGATTAGTCTGAGGAAACACTCCTACAGTTTTTTTGCTAATGTGAGGCAGGGGTTGCACATTGATCAGTCTGTTGACAACATGAGGAAGAAACAATAAAGAGATGGACACGATGAAGGAGAATATCAGAGCAATCACACATCATAACTTGATGCTTGCCCCAGGGATGAAAAAAAAATTAACATTTTTCTTATTAAAAAATACAATAATAGACCATCTAGAGGATGGGGTGGAGTCACACTCTGCAGACTAAAGCATTATACCGTATTATATGCACTTTACAAAATGTTCAGGGAAGTCTTGGAAGGATCAGACAACAAAAAAATGGAAATGCTACTAAGTCTTAAGTTTTGCAATGAAACAAAGCCATATCATTGCCCTTAACATGAATTATTGCCACATTTTATATTCTTTGGCTTCCACTGAAACATCATCTGGGCAGTTCCTTGAGCAGATGTGTGAAACTCTGCCTCACCCTGTCAAGACTTTACAAGATATTTTAATTTTACTTCAGCACCAAGCAGCAGAGATGTCAGACTTGCAGTACCTTGTTTTCACCTCTTTCTCACTAACCCTTGGCTTGCAACCTTAGCAGAAAGTAAATCCTCTGTTTTAAATGTATTTGCCTAAATCACACCTGCTTCAAAGCTCCATCTTTCCCAGCCATACCTCTGCAGTCATACATTTGAACTTGGTTTTACTATGATGCCTACTAACAACAAAAAGAATGAAGAGAAAAGAGAAAAGAGAAAAGAGAAAAGAGAAAAAAAAGAGAAAAAAGAGAAAAGAGAAAAAAGAGAAAAAAGAGAAAAGAGAAAAGAAAAAAGCTTCCCAGACAGTAGTTTTGACTTGAAACTTCCTTGATCTCACTAAAACAAATCACTCTTCCTTACATCTAACCCATCTAATTCAGAAGACAAGCAGTGCAGTATAACTGAGATTCCCACCCCTTATGCTCATTCCCCCCATACTAACATTAGTTTAATTTACAAAATAATAAGTACATTTAGTATGCTTTACTTGTGAACATACCTGTCCAATGCCAAGAAACACTGGTGACGGGAAGCTGAAAAACATAAACAGATATTTAATTCTGAGAAAAAAAAAATTAAATTTAGCACCAAAGCCAACAACTGGACATGTGGATTCTCGCCTGTCCTTCAGAAGAGTTCAGGAACTGCTACCCTTATTGGAGGCCTAACATTTTATTTCTGCTGCAGCAAAACACAAGCTGCATCCACATAACATAGCATATGCACAGTTGATCAATTCTAAATTACTAATTATTTTGGCGATATTTGTAAGTGATGGTAACAACACATTTGGAGAACTCTAACAAGGCATTATTTTTTGAGTGACCTCACATATACCTTGTACCCTGAAATGGTATAGTAACTTAAGTCTCTTCCACTCGCCCTAACTTCAAAGCTTATGTCCACAGCCCAAACATACTAAGAGTGCGGTTTTGTGAAAATACAGGTACCTAGGTAAATGTAGAAACACTTATTGTCTGCTAAACCAGCTAAATTCTTGCCATAGCCCCTCAGTTATCTTTATTGGAAAGCATGGATACTTACATATTAAGAAAGCAGAAACTTTAGCTGGATTCCTGAAAAGCCTGAGTGCTTCCATTTTACCCCCTAAATCGACATAAAGTTAAAACCAATCAATGTGTGGCACTAACCGTTAACTCTCTGTATGCATACTGAAACACAAGTAAAGAAGTTATTTATGAATGACGTCTGGTTTTTGTCATAACCAGCACTAGCTGGAGCCTCTCTGCCCAAAAATCTTGGGTATCAAGGAGCTACCTGACCATGACAGCTTCTGCTGCCTCCCTGGAGTCATTCAGCGTCTTGCTGGACTGCACCATCAGGAATGTTTGCACAGAAACCTGTATCCAGGAAGTCTAAATAAAACCCATTTCATTCTCTGTGCACATCTGCACTAAAAAACGCCTGAGGAGGATCCACTTTCACAGCAAGTGTTGTGATTTTTCACTATCTAGGCTCCTTAAGATTGTGGGTATTTATCACAGAAGGCACCGGGAACTGTGACACTACTGCCTGGTGTGCTGAGAAATGTGAATCTCAAATGAGCACCAGTGGGACAGGAACATAGTATTAGCAAAAGGAAGAAATGCTCTGAAACACAGCAGAAGGGCTACAATGACACTGGAGTCGGAACACTGAAAAAAGACTCAGGAGCAGCCAGTAGCAAAATTGATTATAGGAAACAGAGGTATTAGGGGGAAGGAGAAAAAAAAAAATAAATAAATAAAATAAGCAGAAGAAACAGGACTTCCATTTATAGTCTTGTGACTCCTAAACTGGCTTGTACATACAGTTACACCACATAAATATGGAGACTTCTGTACAATGCAGATTTCTCCAGGAATTTTTTATTTGAAGAGCCCTAAACAATCCCAGCTGTAAGGTATGTATACAAAACTTTGGCTTACTGATGGGCCTGCTGTCCTTCATTACCTTTCACGGATGTGCTAGACCTATGTCAGGGACTTACTGCAGATTGTATGATGAAAACCACTATAAAACAAAATCTCAACTTGCCTTGCATCATTTCTGGGAGATGTTCTATACACCTGTTCTGTGTTCAAATAACACTGAATGTTAAAAAATAAATGCAAGTTTTGCTTTTTAACTTTTTTTTTGCTTTTAAAGATTTCTCACATTTTGGGTGGTTTGTTTGGTTTTTTTTTTTCCTAGTTCAGAATGAGCTGAAACACAGCAAAACCAGAGCAAACTTTTAAAGCAAAGAATAGTAATGGTGAAAAGATCACAGCTACAGGATAACGACTCCATATGGGATGCTCCATCAAGCCAAAGATGTAGCTTTGGTGGTTTTATGATGAGATTTTCAAGGGTTTGCTTTTTGTTACCTCAGAAATGAAAGGTAACCAGACTGGCAGGCACAGTTAGGGGAAGCGCTGTTTCCCTCAAGGACCTAAGGTGGTACAACCGGTGAAACGGTAGCCTCGAAGCTGGGAATAAGGAAAGGCCTTCGAGGAAAAGACTAGCCTGCTTCAAAAGTAAGCCTGACAGTGACTATGCCGTCGGGCGGTGTTGCCAAAGTGGTACATACTGGACAAAACGGGGCCTGAAACTGAAGCCATCGACCCGGCTCTCAGCACTTACCATGACAGCTCCTGTGCCGGTGGGCCAGGTGACTGCCCCGACCTGACACCCCTATGTGATGTGAGCGGCAATGGGAAAGCTGCCCGACGGGAGGTACGGGGCGGCCCGGCTCCACTCCGGTTCGGGAGCTCGCCCTCGCCAAACAGTGAGCGGTCCCGCTGCCAGTCCACGGGACGGCCGAGCCGGAACAGGCCCCGCCGCCAGCCCTGCCGCTGCCTGTGGTCCGGTCCGCACCGCCGGCCCTCACCTGTAGGAGCTGAGCAGGGTCTTGTTCACCAGCACGATGAAGAACGAGCACGTCCCGTAGAAAAGGGCTGAGAGCACCCTTGGAAGTGCCGACGGAGCGGCACAGCCCGCCGCCTCCCCCACGGCCTGCCCGGCGCTCATTGCTGCGAGGAGCAGCTGCGGGCAAGGCTTCACCGCGCACTGCACTACTGCGGCCACCCGGACCACCGCCCCCCCTCTCGGGCCCGGCGCGGCGCGGCCCGGCCCGGCCCTGAGCAGCGGGAACCGGCAGCGGCTGCAGGGCGCTCCCTGGCGGGGCGGAGCACTGTGGGGAGCCCTGGTGGGAGTCCCGCCGCCGCCCCACCCCTCTCTCTTCTCTCCGGCCCAGCCCCGAGAGCGCAGCCCGCCGGGGCTCTGCCGAGAGGGAGGGTACGAGGGGTATAAAACCGAGCGCGAAGTGCTGCCGCCGGACGCCGCTGCACCAGGGGAGCAGGTCCCCAGGTTCAGCCGCACCTGGGGTCATCGTCCGGCACCAGCTTGCCTAGTGTTTACCACCCTGATGGAAAGGAGCTCGGCGCCTCTGGGCACTCGCCCTCAGGCAAGGAGGAAGCTCAAAGCACCCAGGACTGTAACCAAGCTCGGCCCCACACCGCTTCCCCCCCTCACGGGTTTGTCGAAAAACAAACAAATAAATAATAGTAAAAAAACCTTTCATCACCAAAAAATGTGTTTTGGTCAGTTACCTTGTGTCAAATTTCAATGAAATGAACACTTCCATCCTCTGTGACAAGCCAGGCTGGCAGGCTTACAGGAACGAGGAAGCGCCCGAGTATGTAGCAATTCCCAAACAGCACATTCTAAACGTGAAAATCAAACCAAGCTTTTATTCAAAGCTCCTATTTAAATGACAGCACATCCACTCACCTGCTGTTAAGTCATGCCAAACTACAACTTAAATCTTTCAAAGCACTGAACAATTCAAGATTCCTTGCATGTAATCACTCCTTAATAAAACAAAAAGCGGTTTTCCACATTTGGTTTTTTTTTTACCTGATATTTTACCCAAAACTTGTCACAACACAAAACTGCTTCTGAATTTTCCTTACAGCCAAGTACAATTCAGTGCACTTGTCAGATCTTAAGAAATACTCTGCGAGTTGCCCAAAGCATTACAGCTGACTGGGAAAAAAATAGTAATACTAAAGAAAAAATATTAAGAATCAATGCTATGAAGTTACGACTCCAGTCTGCAACTGGCTGGTAATTACAGAGTCTTGTGCCCTGTGAAATTCTACATGAGATCAATTCTGAATTATGACTCAGAAGTGCAACAGATTTAGGTTCAGGTCTCATTTTGGGATCAGACTATTTGCATGCAGCCAACTAAGCATTCAAAAGCACGTAATTTGAGAGGCTCCAAACCTACACACGCAAACTACCAGTTTAATACATAGGCTGAGAAGCCTAGAATGACTACAATGTTTCACACCTTTAAGCCTGAAAGACTTTAAACAGAAACAAATGAGCCTGACATCTGCTAAGTTTAGGAACTGAAAGCAAAAGTTAAACCGTATCAGTGGTGCAAAATTATTTACATTCAATGATTTAATTTCATTTTTAATTTTCAATTACTCTTTACTTAAGTGCATCAATACATGACTTAAAACCAAAACAAACTGGGTTAATGAGATCTTCAACCACAACAGGTTATTAGAGAACGTGATCCAACAGTTGCAGTTCCTGGTGTAAAATCTCACGTTTCTGGAACAGCTGTATGCATCTGGTCAGTCTATATCAAATGATTGGTAAAATTGTTTCTTCCTCTTGTATAAGCAAGAGGGAAAGTGACTTCCCTTCTCATCTGAATTTCCTGACCTTCAACAAGAGGAAGGAATTAAAGCAAGCAGGTCAGTAAATGCAACTTATTTTTTTATAACCCTTTATAGGGATATACAAAAATAGCCCCTTAAGCAGGAGCTTAAAGAAACAAGAATAGAACCAGAAAAACCACACAAAACCACAAAACAAAGAGTCTGATCTGAAAACAGATTTTAAATGACTGTCACTAAAAAAAGTTTTGTTAGCATATTAGGAATCTCTGGTTGCCTTCAAAGCAAAATACAGAAAATGATCACCATGAGACAATCCTCTTCGAAAGCATACAACATTCAGGAAGTGACAAGATATCCTACTGAACATTTCTTATCAGCATCTGAGTACTAGGCAGCATTCTGCAACTTCATTTATTTGGGAAATATATGCAATCACACTGTTATCACATTTGTAACTATCTTCGGAAGTCTATTTCCTAGTTGTATAGTGAATAGTTTTCTGCAGTGTTTAATTGATAGCTGTGCTACAGTTAGTGAACACAAAACTGGCATGTTATCCTGAAGTAAAGCAATAAGGTGGCTTTATGCAAGGAAAGTACAGAGGCTATTTGCTAATAATCACATAAAAGCAATACTTTAGAACTTAGTGTTTGCTAATAGGACTCCTAAAATAGTTTACTACAAATCCATACCACCATGTAAATACCCCCTTTAGCAAATTCAAGTGCCAAATCACTACAGGGTCCAAAAATAGCTGAAAAAAAAAATGTTGCCAATTCTTTACCTTTGTGTAGACTTTGCAAGCCTAATCATTTTCAGATAAACCCAACAATGTGCAAAAGTTCCTAACATCACGTTAGGATTAACAAGTGCTACCAAGAGATTCTGCTGAAATCAAATCAGAAAAGGTAAAACAGCAAAGTCAAGCCTCACACCTTGAGCAGTCACAGTGACGATCCTTAATGATCTTACAGTTTCCTGCATGAAGTAGTTTCTTCCCTTCTGAAAGCTGAGATAACCAAGCTTTTTGCCTTCGGCCTCAGTAATACTAGGTAAAGATGTACTCACACCAGAAAAATACGGTTTCATTGCTGCTTAACATCTTCAGACCTACCACTTAATATAAACTTGCTTAAATAGTCAGATAAATACTTTTCTTTTTTGTCAGGCTTCTTTGGCCACGTGTACCATTCTGCTAATCGCAAACACTTTGTTTAGAAAGTGCTTCCTGTGAAAACTGCTTCAAATAAATGAGTTAACCTTGCAAAATCTAGCTTCCCACAACACATACATTTGTCAACCCTGCATTATGCATTCCTATATTTACAAAATACTTAGAAACTTTACAACTATCTTTTACCTTAAAAAAAGTGCAATTCTCTCACCCCATGTAATGGGGCAACAACATTCTTCATAAATTCTACAGAATAGCAGCCTATGATAAGCAAATAAGGTGCTTAGCTTATTTATACTCAGGATCTAACTGGTTAAATACCACCAGTAAGTACATTTTGTATAGGCAGACTGTTCCGATCTACTGTCACAGCGGTGCCACAGCTAGGTTTGCAAGCTCAATCAGAGCCAGTGCGCCATGCATGCGTTCACGCTGTTCCTGGAGGCGGCGGCAAGCAGCTGAATGAGCGCTGTTTTTCTCTTCTTCATCATCCTCTTCATCAGACTGAAGATATTCCATGGGGTCCTGCTGCTCCTGATCCGTTTTCTGTATTGTTTTACTTTTCAAAGCAGGAGCCCGCTGTTCTCTGGTCTCCCAGTATCTACAGAATTAAAGTTGGTAAACATTTTTAAAATACATGCAACTGACTTGCACAAACAGTCAAAGCTGGCAAAAACCTCCCACATGAGTACTAGTTTGCATCTGACTAAGCGCTGCATTTGGCTTTATCTTTCAGTCCTTATATTTCAGCTGTCAGAAACCTCCTTTATTTACTATTTTAATTGTGAAGTGCCCAAGTGAACATATGTGACTGATTTCTTCTCTACATGGTGTTCCCAGCAGACATTTCTCCCTAGGCACAGAAAATTGTTACCCCTCATACAAATGAAAATTCAGCAAGACCCTAGCACTAAAAATAAGGTATTAGCAGGTGTCAATCAAACAAAGAAAAGTATTTTAAAAGAGAAAAAAAAGAAAAACAAATCAAAACACCCCCCCCGACATAAAACCCTGTCGCAACAACAAAAAACAAAAAAACAAAAAAAAAAAACCAAACAACCAACCCAAAACCAACCAAAAAAAAAAAGATCCAAGTAAGTCTTATGAGGAACTTTGCCTAAACTTGTAGTTTGCTTCTTTAAGGAAATGCAAGGCCAGACTGATTTGTACTGCAGGAACAGCTGCTTTTAGTTTGTTGTTTTTTTTTTTACCCCAAGAATAAAATACTTTCCCAGACCACCCTTGTAAGTACTTAGAGAAAGATGACACAGTGAGGGAGGGAACTTACTTTGCTAGCCACTCAGCTACAGCTTTATTGTCAGCCGTCTCCTTCTTACTCAGCCTGTCTGTAAGCTCTTCCCTCTTCAGTCGGGCATACGGATGCTTGGGGCAGTGACGGTTTGCATGTGTGAATCTGCTTAAACATCCTTAAAAACCCCCACAAAGTGATAATGAAGAATATGTTACAGAAAGCAGCCAAACAACAAGTAAGGGTATTATCTGTGGGATGAAGGTGCTGCTGAATCCAGCTTTCCTCACTCATAAACCCTAGGCTTGGTTGAAAACACTAGCTGTGAGGTCAAAACTTGACACAGCATTTTATACATTAGTATCAAGTGACAGAATTACTGATAACCTAATTACATAATAAGATATGCAATCCTTTGGCTACGTATCTGCATGATTATGCAGATTTTTGTGTGGATCCTTTCTTCCCCTAAAGCTCCTCCAAAATTAAAATCCAAAGCTTTTCTGGATCTTTGCCACATTTTGTGCAGCATGTTTCCAGTACTGGACTGACCCTAGCCTGAAAGTTGCTAATCTTTCCCAATGGCTCACCATTCTCTGAGCAGACGAAAGGTTTCTCCCCTGTGTGGAGACGCTGGTGGGTTTTGAGCTGTCCACTCTGAACAAAGGCTTTCCCACAGTCTGGGTAGTCACACAAATAAGGCCTTTCACCTTAAAAATAACAAAAGGACAGAGTTATGAAAGCTGAATATAAAAAGAGGATTCATAGTATGTAGTGGTGGTGCCTGATTCAAGATTTAGACAAGCAAGCTCCCATTTCACCCACACAGACACCTGTACCTACTTAGAAAGCCCTGGTATACCAAACAGCAGAGGCACACTTTTACTGCACAGAAATCTTTACTTTGAAGTACATGCTCAATGCTACTGGATAATACAGCTATTTCCGGGGGGGAGAGGGGGACAGGGGAAGAGGAAGAAGGTATACATATATTTTGCTTGTCTTATTTTCTGATTAAAGCCTCTTGCACAGAGAAACTTATTCCAGACTTAAGCCAAGAAAGTTTTCTTAGGGCAGTCATGAAAGAAGAATTCCCCATGCAAACTGCAACAAGAAGAACAGATGTAGCAGGCATCTCCTCCCTCAAGAGGATCCGACTGTGAGCAACTATGCCAGGGCATGCTGTGCCATCACCTCTCAGGAAGGGTGACCAAACGAGTGTGATGCTGACTTACTAAGTCTGAGGAATAACACCAGGGTATGCTCTGCTCAGTTAAGTAGTTCAGACAACACCTAATGCAACAAAGTGAAATAAAACCATCTTTTGACCAAAAAGCACAGGGAAACTGCTGTTCAATATCAGTATCTAGCTTAGTTTTAGTGACTTGAGTCAGAAAGAGACCATGTGAGCTAAGGGTTTTCTGAAGTCTTGTTTTGGGTGTTGTTTGCTGGTTTTTGTTTGTTTCTCATTTTGGGGAGGAGTGATGATGGTTGTGTCTGTATTGTGGGCTGCATTAGTTCACACGTTATTGCAAACAGAGTACTGGTGGAAGATGATAAAATATATGAGATATATGAAAGTATATGAAGAGGATAAAAATATATATTTACTTGGATTAAAAAAAAAACAGCATCTCCGGTGTAGTTCAAGCTCAGGTGGGTATTGAGTAGGTCGATGCTACATTTTAACTTAACTGTGAGTTGCCTCCTGCAAACAGCTCATTCATTGAATTTGCACTAGCACCTCCACTGCAGAAAGTGAATTCTAGGGAGACACAACTATTTTTGAGCATTTGAACTCTTTCCTCAACATTTAAGCTACACTTCTAGGGTGTTACACTGTCCCACAATAGTTACCAGCCCCCTTTTAAGTCACTATCTCCTCTGACAGCTAAACTTTCGTATCTCTGCGAAAAATACACCAGCAAGAAGGAAACAAGTCACAGAGAAGAGGCAGTGAGAATATAAAGTGCTACATATAGAGGACTGCACTTAAGAAAAGCCCTTCCTCTTACAAAGTAAGTTTATGACAGCGGCACATGAAATATTTACACAATTTGCCTAGCCTATTCTACGCTTTCCCATGACAAATACTGTTACAAAGACATCGATTGCACTAACTAAGCATAGAAAAAAAGTATGATTCATTTAACTGTTTCAATAAAATATTAACAGGTTGAGTTTGTTGGGGATTTTCTGTGTTTTTTTGGTGTTTTTTCTCTTTTTTAACTCCTTTCCTGCTGCTTCCTACGCGGCTCACACCTCTCTACTCACCGGTGTGCGTTCGTTTGTGGGCCTGCAGAGATTTCTCTCGTGGGAAAACCCTGTTGCAGATATTGCAGCGTATTCTGCTGGAAGAGTGCTCTCCTTCGCTAATCAGGTCGCGGACGGTGTCTGCTCTCGGACGGCCTCGCCTTAGCCCATCCTGCATTAACACAGCGAGGAGCTGGCATCCCGCACTATCCCACCGCTGAGGTGTAACCAGAAATACCCAACTTTCCCTGAAGTGACTTTTGCGTCGCCTCTGTGTGACCGAGGGGCGGTGACGGCGTTAGCGGTTTACCGGTAACCACTCCACAGCGAGACAAGCGCTTTCCTGACGGGCTCTTTACGGAGGTACGACCGGCAAGTGCCAGGGGGGTCGTCAGGCACCACCAGCACTCTTATGTGCACTCACAAAATGGGGGGAAAGTAACAAAACAGAAAACAACTTCTGTGTGTGGGCGAGGGCTTTTTATTTCCTCTCTCTTCCCTAGTGCATAACCCCAGGGGAGTGTCAGGCACCCACTCCCCGGCTCCCAGCACCTCCCTCTTCCTTATCCCCCCCCCCCCCTCGCGGCACTGGGACGCACGCGCCGCTGCCGGATATGACTTCACTTTAAATCTCCGGGAGGAGGCGGGGGAAGGGCGCGCAGTCACCCTTTAACTCCGCCGCCGCCGCCCGCTGCGCCCCGGGCCCACACTCACTCACCTTCAGGTGCCGGTGCCTGCCGCCTCCGTCGCCCGGGCTCCCGGCTCGCTCGCCGTCCCCGGTGACCGCCCTGCCCGCTCCCCCAAGGGGCGGTGGGAGAGCCGGGGGCGCGGCGGCGGCGCCAGGGCTGAGGGTCACGTTGTGGGCATTCTCTCCCCAGCGCCAGGGGTAGACCATAAAGTCGCTGAAGCCGGGGCTGTTGGGGACGGGCGGGGCGGGCGCCGGCTCCTCGCCGGCTGCCGGTGAGGATGGTTTGATCGGGGTCGTTTTGATAACGGAAACCAGGACGCGCTTCGGAGAGTCCTGGCAAAAAATCACCGGGGGACCAGGTGGCAGCCGCTCCGCCATCGCCGACCCCTCGCGGGCACCGGCGCCGGGAACGGGGTGAGAGAGCGGTGGCTCAGCCTCGCTGTCTGACTCCGCGTCCCGGGATGGGGAAGGAGGTGTGGAGCGGCACGGAGGTCCAGCGGCCACCGCTCGGGCCCACCTCAGCCGCTCATCGCCGGGGACGGCAGCTCCCGGCGGGTTTTCCGTGCCTTCCTCCCCTCCGCGGCCACCCCCGATCGGATTCGCAAACTCAGCGGCAGCCCCAGGCCATAGCAGTGGCCGGACTGAAGCAGCCACAGTCTCCTCGCACCTTTCCGAAACGGCGCCGACTCCGCTGGTAGTCCCGGTCCCGGCGATGCCCGAGGAAGAGCCGCCGCCACCCCTGCGCGCCCACACCCTAGGCTGAGCCCCAGGTTTTCCCGCGTTACGTTTCGCGCCTGAGCGTAACCAATCACCCACCCCGGCGCCAACGTCACGGACCGGCGGTTCCCGCCGACCAACCGCTAGGAGGGGAAGTCGGCGGCCACGCCCCCCGGGGCGGTGTTCGAGCGGGACGCAAACTCTCTTCTGCCGCCTTATTGGCCGGGCTCCCGGCTCACCGGCGGAGTTCGAAACTGCGCCCCGCCCGCCCCGCCGCCGCCGCCGCCGCCTCCCGCCCCGGGGGAGGTGCTGACTGGCCCTCCATGGGGGCTGATGCGCCCTGGCAGGTTTCGCGGGCCCTGGCGGCGGCCGCGAAGTTTAAAGGGGCCGCCTCCCGAGGCAGCGCCCTGGCAGGGCCGGGTTCTCTTTTCTCCGCCCTTCCCCTGCAGCGGCTCTGTCCGCAGCGCTGGTAGCGCGGTTGCCGGCAGGGAGGGTTTCCCAAGTGAGGAGGTGGCAGCGGCGCTTGTACCGCTGGAGGGCGCTGTGGTGCGGCCGTTATGGCTTTTGCGAAGGGTTGGAGGGGAGCGCCTCTGCGCCCCGCAGCCGTTCTTTGCCGTAGGCCGGGCTGCCGGGGGCCGGCCTGTCCAGCTGGGCACGGCCAGTGAACCTGTGGGGCAACAGGCACCGTCCCTAAGGCTGAAAGAAGCGGGAAGTGGCTGTGCCAAGCGGCCGCCAGGGCTGGCCCGGGTCGGCAGGCCACCATGGGCCGCGGCTCGGGAATTTTAGGAGTCTCCTCAGGCATGAGATAGTAAAAGTTTGTGCCGGTTACCAATTTCAGTGTATTACTGTTTGAGGGGTGCTGGTGTGTGAGTTGTTTTGTGGGTGTTTTTGTTTGTTTGTTGTTTTGCTTGTTTGTTTCCCAGTCTAATGTAGTTGCTCAGGTTCTTGCACTGCAATTACCAAAACGGTATCTTAACCACTTAGATTTCCAGCCTGCATCCTTAGAAACGGAGACCCAGGCCAGTTCTGCAACCCGCTAGCACAAACTGTGCATACAGGGCGGCTGCCGGTCCGTGGCCACGGGAGATGGGGGGCTGGGGTGGGGGTGGTGGTAGAGCCGGCGCTAAGTCATCTGTGTGGGTAAGAGGTGCCTGGCTCATGCGAGACAGGTGTGGTGGTAGCGAGGAATGGTTTGGGCATATGGTGGCATACACCGACTTGGCTTTGGCTGGTAGAAACACTAAAAAGAACACCCTTCATAAATTTCCAAAACTAGATGACTCACGCTTCGAGCAGTACATGTAGCTGCAGAGGAACTCCAGTGACGGCGGGAACTAATGCTACGATCCGGCATGTAAAATTGCATATACTGTGAGCAGTGCAATGCATTGCAAGTCCAAACCAGAATGGTTTAGATTGGAGGGGACCTCTAGTGTTTTAAACCCAGGTGGTAACTCGGCACCACTCAGCTGCTCACTCACTCCCACCCCTTCCACCTTCCTTGGGTGGGATGGGGAGAGAATAGAAGAACGAAAAACTCACGGGCTGAAATGAGAACTCAGTAATAATTTAATAATTAGAATAAAGTGAAATATATTTTAATAACTAAAGTGAAATATAGTGATAATAGAATATCAACAATACCAATACTGATAACAATAGGAAACAAGAAGAGAAGAAATTAAAGCTCAGAAAACAGCAGTGATGCACAATACAGCTGCTCACCACCTTCTGACCAATGCCCAGCCCAAGCAGCGATCAATTCCTTCTGGGTAATTTCCCCCAGTTTAGGTACTGGGCATTATGTGCTGTGATATGGAATACCCCTTTGGCTGGTTAGGGTTAGGTGTCCTATCTGTGCTTCCTTCTGGCTTCTTGTGTCCCTCCTGACTGGCAGAGCATGAGAGACTGAAAAGTCCTTGATCAGTGCTATTTTCAGCTATCTCTCAGAGAAGTTACATATATATATATATATTATAGACTCATAGAATACTTAGGATTGGAAAGGACCTTAAGATCATTAAGTCTCAACCCCCCTGCTGTGGGCAGGGACACCTTGCATTAAACCATGTCACCCAAGGCTCTGTTCACCCTGGCCTTGAACACCGCCAGGGATGGAGCATTCACAGCTTCCTTGGGCAACCCATTCCAGTGCCTCACCACCCTCACAGTAGAGAACTTCTTCCTTATATCTAACCTAAACTTCCCCTGTTTAAGTTTTAACCCTTTACCCCTTGTCCTACCACTGTAGCCCCTAATGAAGAGTCCCTTATTATTTTTCTCTTTTGAAACATCGTGAAAACAAAGCCAGATTCCACAAAACACCATACCTCTAGTCTTGCTGCTGGAGTATTTCTGAATTCCTACCCAAAGATGACCTTCAAAACAGCTGTTGAAGCTGCAAGCACATTGTCTGTACAGTCAATAAAAACACCCTTTTTTATGCCGTTTTTCATATATAGTATAAATTCAGGAGGCTTTGATTTTGAAACCTTGAAAATAAGGTTTCAAAAATTTCTAAAAAGCTTTCTGGGTGAAGTGTTTGCTGAGGAACTGTAGTGTGGATGCTGTGATTGATACCAAAAGGCTGCACAAAGGCCTACGAAAGATTTGGTTGTTTTGTTATGTGTTGTCGTAAGGTGGTGGTATTAATATATTTCCACTGAATAAAACAGGATAAAGCAATTTTCCAATTACTTCTTTTCACTGAAAATGCATGTAGTTTCATCTTGCTAAAAAATAAAGCAACTATTCAGAGGCAAGTACAGTTGATCTGGATAAACATTTCTTTTACACTATTTTATTGTTGTGTCATATTCATAGAAGTACCTTCAGAAATTCTTAATTTGTTGTTAATTATGGCTAGCTTTTTTTTACAATTTAAAAACTGTGCAGAATTAATAATATATTCTCTTTGAAGAGTTAGAATTTCCTTAGTCTATCTGAAGCATGTCAGAGCCTAAGAGCTCCGACTTGACCACCAGGATTTTGTAAAGGTGTTTGTGAGCAGACAATAGCCCTAACTTAGTTGCTGTCATTATTTCCATTGATAGAATCACAGAACAGTTTGGACTGGAAAAGACCTTAAAGACCATCTAGTTCCAACCCCCCTGCCATCGTTGTGATTTCACAAATGAGGATGAGGCTGTAAGAGGGCACAGTATAATGAAATAATTTTTATTCTTTAGCAAGCAAGCCCTGCATACGTGGGTCTATGTGAAGGCTAGGGGAGATAGAGTGATTATGTTCGAGGCTCGGAATAGCAGGTGGTGGATGTGCTGTGTATTTTGACCTATCTGCACTCCAAGACAGAGGGAGGTGGTTGTTATGCTGCCAGTGCTATCTCTAATCCCGCTTTATGAAGCACAGCGCAGTCTGATTTACTTTCAAGGACTTGTGCTAAGGATAATATTAATTTCAAGGCAAGGTAGGATACACAGTGATCATAATAGAGGAACTGCTAAATTTCCTATGAATGACGAGGATAAAAACACAGTCTAACCACAGAAATAAAACAGCTTAACCACAGAAATGTCGTCTGCATTTGGCATTCTTTAGGTGAATGTGTCTGAAAGGCTGAGATTTTTACACCATGTGTTTGGGGTTGCTGTAGCTGATGGAGGCAGCAGGGGTGGTTTGCCTGCACAACTGCCTGTCCACTGAACACTGTGAATGAACCTTGTTGAGTCTCCAGGAGTGTTTGTGCTGTTGGTTTTCAGAGTTGGGAAAAGGATTTGCAGCTCACTCCAAGCATTGCTGGCACTGACCCACATGGCTCCTAGTCATAGGGTGTCTGCATGTACACTCTCGCATCATACGGGGCTTACTGATGGCCTGGGGGCTCTGCTGGTTTTGCTGAACAGAGCAGCTTTCCGTGTTAGACTCTAGAACCTGTATGTCTCACCCTTGTGCGGCATTTGTAAACTGTTATGCCGGCAGGCGTCCACCAATTTAAGAAACCAACACCACCGCAGTTTCAAGCGGAAAGAGGCAATTAGAACACTTCGAGGGAATACCAGGTGAAATTGTGAAAGCGTGCTGGGTGCTTGAAGCAGAGTTGCACAGAGAGCTCCCAGTGCAGCGTTTCATTAAAGTCAGCCGTTAGTGGATGTGGATTGTATCAGAAGACCCTTGGGACAGTTATGCGAAGACATTACATTCCAGACTCTTACTGAAGAGCCTACCCAGGCATGCACTCACGGAGGCTCTTTGCCACCCCCTTACCAGCGACGGGCAGCGCGCGAAAGCAGCTTGAGCAATGCCATGGCTCATGCATAACTGCTGCTCCCGGGCTCCTTGAGCAGCACACCCAATTGGTCAGTGCGCCATTACTGACGGTGCAGGCGCCGCACGCTAATTTACCGTAGCAGCACATCAGGGGCGAGGCGAAGCCTAAAGGCGGTATTGCGGATTGGTCGCTCGCTCTTGCCGTTATTTCGCGCTATTGGTTGAGCGTGTCGCTGTGGGTGGGCCCGGCGCCGCCGATAGGTGGCGGTTGCGGTTCCTCTCGCAGCTGCGGAGTTTCATTGGTTTCGCGGCTCGGTGAAGGGCGGGGCGCCGGCACCGGTGTTGGCAATGGAGCGTTGGCCCGGGTAGTGCTGAGCCGATGCCGGGTTCGGCGCGGTAGTTTTCGGCGTGTAGTGCTTCGTGGTCACCTCAGCTGCAGCCCCGGAGCGGACCGCGGGTAGGGAAGGGGATAGGGTCAGTTGTCCGGAACGATGATGCAGGGGACGGTGGACAGTCCGGTGGCTGCCTTGATGCAGGAGAGCTTTGGCTGCTCCATCGCCAACCGCTTCTACCAGCTCCTGGACGACGAGTCAGACCCCTTCGACATCCTGAGCGAGGCCGAGCGCCGCCAGCAACAACGCAAGAAGCAGCAAGAAGAGGCGGCGGCGGCAGCCGCCAGGACAGCCGGTCCTGGCGGCAGGGCGGGCGGCGGCAAGAGGGAGTCCCAGAAGCAGCGCAAGCAGTCCGGGAGTCCCCCTGTGCCCTGGGGGCCGCTGGAAACCGGTACGGCGGCGGGGCGGGGGATGTGGGGTCCGGCGGGGCGAGCGGCCCGGCAGCCGGTGTTCCGTGGGAGTCGGGTGCCGATGCAGGCAGAGGGCCATGCAGCGTGGCGGGGGTCGCGGCTGGCCCCGCGCCTGCCTTGCCTCTCCCTTCAGCAGTCCTGGCGTTCCGCCGCTTGTGGCTGCGGTAATGAGAAGATCGATTTCATTGGGTTGCCGTTGTGAGTGGGTACCTGAAAGTCCCCTTGGAGAGACAGGGACAGCTGGGCGTCACTGCGGAGCCGAGCTGCGGGGCCGTCGTGGGAGCTCTCCCATCCTACCCGGGGGGGCTTCGGAAGGTAAATGGGTCTTCGGAAGAGCAAACGAGAACTTCGGAAGTAGATGTAAGAGACAGATGAAAGAGCATTAACTCTGCCACCCCGGCACCTGTAGTTTTCTTGCTGGTTTAGCATCCCTTAGCATCCCTGATGATGCATTTCGTCAGTGGCCGTTTACCTTTGGTGTCGGATGCTTGCAGACTTATTTTCTTGGTCCCTCTGAGTCTTCTGGTACTTTAGCTTCCTCGGGGTTATAGTATGCCCGGGAATCTGCGCTTAGTTTGCCTTAAGCTTGCATTGTTGCACAAACATTTGAATAAAAACTTACCTGCTAGAAGAACTCTTTAGCACGGTGTTGAGGAATAGTCTAGGCTGTTTGTCAGCTGCAAGGTTGTAATGCAGAATGTTTCTTCAAGGGAATAGGGAACCATTCGGCTTTTGTATGTCACAGTTTTCTTTGTAGCTGAAGGCTTTGCTGGGCAATGTCTCCTCGCAATTGGAGTCTTCTATTCTTGTGAGTCTTGCTGTTATTACTTACCTGGTATTGAGCCCCAGGCTGCTGGATTCAGTATCTAAAGTATTTGAGGTCTGGCTCTACACACTGTGTCCAAAAACTCTGGTTTTACCCTCTTGAGTTGTAAATTCCCATTCACCTACCGCAGGCATTGGAGCTTAACACATTAAGATACCGATCTTTTCCTGTAGTAAAAGCTCCTGTTAAATTCATAGTGATTGTACTGTGTGTTTTAATTCCCTAGAAAAAGGTGTGGCCTTTCAGTCTGGGTTATTGCTCCATCAAGACATTGCCAGTGTTATCAGTTCTTATTTCTTAGACTTACAGTATTACACTGTTCCAACAGCAATTATTTCACCTTGTGCATCAGAGACTTTTTCAGTGCCACATAAGCACTGGTTAATATTCATCTTTGCAGAGGATGATCTTAAATTGTCACTGTCCCTGTGGACAGTGGTATGAAACTTGCCTTTTGAGATTCATCTGTGATTGTTATGTGACTTTGTCATGGATCTCTGCCTGTAAGACCAACAGTCACATTAGTAACAGGCTTATTTTACTTAAGGGATACTTTGCTGTGGGTATTAAATGGAGGTGAAGAGGCCTGTTCAGTGAACCTCAAAGTCTCAAGTTTTGATGAAAAAGTTCTTGAGCAAGAGCTGGTGGTTATTGGTAACCTGCCAGGAGTGTTAGAAGTATGTGAAGAGCATCTTTTACCTTCCACTTGTTTATAGCTATCTTAAGCACACAGGTTCTGAGTGTAATTCTATGATAGTACACAGTGACTCTGTGGAGTGGTTTTGACTGTTTTCTACTACCTTGATATTAAGAAACCTAGTTTCTCATATAGAGAGATGAGGCACACATGCCTTGTTTTAACTGGTTGCTTGCTAATTTAAAATGATCAGCCAGGTGGAGTGGGAACTCAAAGGATTGCCTGGTCCAACCTTTCCTGGGAAAGGCAGCCTAGAAGGGATCATCTAGCATCCTGTCTCATTGCATTTGGAAAACCTTCAGTGATGGGGACTCCACCATGGCTCTGGTGGAGTTGTTCCAGTGAATGATTGTTACAAATTTCTTTCTGGTAACAGATGAAAACTCTCCTCATGCAGCTTGTACGTGTTAGCCCTTGTCTTCTCCACATGGCTTCTTGTGAAGATAGAAGCCTTCATCCTCTCTGCACTCTGTAGCTGCCCTTCAAGTACTGGAACACTGTGATGTGTCGCCCAGCTGAGCCTTCTCCAGGGAGAAGAGACCTAGCTCCTTCAGCCTTTACTCATAGGGCAGCCTTTCCAGCTCTTTGATCATCTTCATGGGCCTCCATTGGACCACCTCCAAACTGTTTTTTCACATTACTGGGTGTTTTGCTTTTTTGGGTTACAAAAAGTCTTGTTAGAAGTTTCACAATTTTTTGTTTTATTATTGTATTATTTCTTCAGCATATTAAATCTGAACAAAATAGTCTTTACCTTTAGAGAGACTTGAAGCAGGCCTAGTCTTTGATCTTGAAATAGAGAAAAGTTTTTACAGTAGTCTGAGAGGCTTCTTTCAGTGTTATGTTTTGAAGTTTGAGTGGAAGGTTTACTCACAAAGCTCTGTGAGTTGATATTTATTTTTGGTTTGGTTTTTGGTTAATTCTTCACTGCCTTTTCTAGGGGAATTTTTACTTATTTTCTAGAGATGTTTTCAGTTTGAAACAAGCCTCCCAAGTGGACTTTGCCAGATAATCCAGTACTTTGACTTGCAGAATCCAAACTATTTATTATGAATTGACACAACTATTTTTGAATCTGTCTTTAAGGAGAAAATGGATTCGTATTCCATAGCCCATCAAAACCTATCCTTTTCACCTTAATCAACATAGAATCATAGAATAGTTAGGGCTGGAAAGGACCTTAAAATCACCAAGGTCCAACCCCCCTGCCATGGGCAGGGACACCTCACACTAAACCATGTCACCCAAGGCTCTGTCCAACCTGGCCTTGAACACCGCCAGGGATGGAGCATTCACAGCTTCCTTGGTCAACTCATTCCAGTGCCTCACCACCTTTACAGTAAAGAACTTCCTCCTTATATACATGATGTATTTCTTTCTCCCTTACTGACTGTGGTGTTCAGTGATTTTTATGCTGTATGGTAAGGATTTGGGTAAAGGCTGTTTGTAGATACTACAGCTCTTATAATTGTACCTCTTACTCTTAACTCAGTTCATTCTTAGCACAGTGGCCAAACTGCATTTGCCAGCTCTTTGTTCAAAAGGCCCAGTTGCAGAGTTTGCATTCTTCACCAGTCCAGGCAAATTAAATGTGTTGATCATGCAGTAATAAGCCCTTTCCTGTTGAAATCTCTAAAATTTGTTGCTGATACCTCTAAAAGTTTTTCTTCTTTCATGTAAATTTGATGGTTTATGTAACATTTAGATGCAATACTGGATACTGTATGTTTGAGTTTTTAGCTACTGTTTTAAAAATTAATATGGCATGGAATGTTTCAGGGGAATTTTATCTTGTACTGATTGCAATTTTCATATTTGAAATAACTTCTTCCAATAGCATTCTTTCAGCTACATAGTCATAAGGTTGCCCAGAGGAAAGCTGCAGTAGGCAATTCTGTGATTGAGTACTGGCACACATGAAACCAAAATGTACCACAGAATGGAGTCTTAACTGCATGTGTCTCTTTTTGGTGTGGTATATGCAGTAGCTGAAGCCTTTTTGTGTGTGTGTTTTCAGATACTGGAGTATTATTCTGCAAATCATATAATTAGCCATGCTTTAGTTTACAAAATTAATAGCTTGAAGTTTGAAATCAAAATCATGTGAACACACACATGTGAAGGGGAGGAGATAAGATTGTCTGTGCAGTCTTACATCTGCTGCACTCTCAAGTTTAGAAAAATGTGTCCCTGAGAGTGTGAATTATTTTTACTGTTTCCAGTTATGCAGCTTTACTGTAAAGGAAGATGAGTTGTACATGTATAGGTATCATTGTGTTACTGAGATGATAATGAAGCAGTGTGTTTGCATGCAGCCATAATTAATAACAGAGATCCTTGAATTATTTCTCCACTTGCCCTCATTCCAGACAAACTGGAGCAGTACTCCTGTTTGGTTTTTGTACTTTCTTCTTCTCCTCCTACTAAATTGTTTCATGAGGCTCAGATTTTTCAATTTTAAAGTTAAGCTGAAAGAAGAGGAAAGAAGGGTGTCTTGGAATAAGATGAAGGAGAGACTTGAATTTAGGACCAATGGTTGTGCTGTTGTCAGCTTTGTTTTAACATCTACAAAGCACCTGGAACTTGTCTGAAATGAAAAAAATTAAGCACAGTTTAAGTTATTTTCTTGTGTGTGTGTGTGTCTGTGTGTGTATGTAGGTGGGTGGGAAGACTTTGCTGAAAGACCTATGAGAGAAAAATAGAACCAATAAATAACCAAGTTTGCTGGTACAAGGTTGTATAGCACAATAGAAGAAGAGTTACAGGGCAATGACACAAGTTACATATTGTAAAGGAGTTATAAAATGACAGAGGAAATTCACTATCAGTAAGGGTAAAGTAATACGTATGGGAGAACTTTGATTGAGGTGAGGGGCAGCATTGCAAACTGTACTACCATGTGAAGATTTTTCTTATTCAGACTATTTTAGTTAATGAACAAGAGCTTGAAGTTATTTGGACTGTTAAAGAGTAGGACAGCAGGTCTATCTCCAGTTGCCATGTCCGAAAGAAGCAAATGTTGGGGATTCTTGGGGTAGCAGTAGCAGGGAAAATGGAAAAGGAATTGTCATGCCTTTGAAGGAATCTTACTTTCCAATGTCTTGTAAGTGTGTCTGCTCTTTTGTTCACCTCAAACACGCTAAAGCTAGAAAAAAAACATTAGAGTGATGAATTAAACTTAGAGAATTATTTCTGCATTGGGAGAAATTTAAATCAAGGGCTTTGTTTTGAGAAGAGATATCTGAGGATGCAAAAGGAATGTGCATAGAACTGCAGGTGAGACTTGGAGAAGGCAAAGAGTATTGATTCTTATTTTGCAGAAATAAAGGGATATAATGTAAGTCAAATTTTGTGAAATGAGGGGAAAGAATGCTTTTTTCTATAGAGACTATTATTGACCTGTGGCCCTTATTGCTGTAGGGTGATGTTGATATATCAAAGCATTTACCTATTCTGACAGGAGTCCAGGTAAAGACATGGCAGCCCATCTGTGGATCTGTCCTGCATAAATCAATGTTTATAGTCTTTAATTCAGAAAACCTCTGAGGGTAGATTACCATGTGGAAAGCATTTTGTCATTGCTTTTCTCTTTTTTTTCAAATACATGCTATAAGATATATCATGTCTTTTGCCTGGCTACTTTCTTTGGTCTAATGTTCATCCTAACTGAATCAAAGCTACACTCTGACTTTGCTCTGTTCCTGTTGGGCTAGTTGAGCAAAATAGAAATAAGCCCTTGTTTGGCACTTCTTCATCCCAGGCTGCATTTGTAGAAATGGAGTACTGATGGAATTGTCTTACTGGTTAGAGTGTCACCTGTTTTGGTGAGATGTGCTGGTCTCAGGCTTGTGAGGACTCATAAAGCATGAAGGTGAAGAATTGTCAGCTGGATGTTAGGTCAGAAGGCAAGGCTTTGGTGTTCTTTACAGCAGTAACCTCTGTCAGCCTGTGAACTGCATGCTAGCTGCCATCATCACCTGCTGTGCTCCTTACATGAAGGAATGGGGGAAACAGCAAGATTCCTGATCTAGCTTGTAGTCACTGATGGCAGTTGCAAGATGGACTTCTTGTGGTGTTTATCCAAAGTCAAGGTTTACTGCACACAACCTTTTAATTTTTTTATTATTATTATTTTTTATATTTTTAAAAAATTTTAGTTTTAAGATGAGAAAAAAAAGGCATGAGCACACAAAGCCTTAAAAACTGTCTCTTCCCAAGCAAAAGTCTTGCTTGTGGAAGGACAGATTATATGGTTAGAGAAATTTGGTGAGAACTAGATGACAACAGTGCAAGGACAGCTAGATTTCACTGTGTTGTTTTGAATCCATCTGTTAATACATAGATAGCCACTGTCTGAGAAACAAGACAATGCAGGTCTTAAAAGTAAAATTTTCATTCCCAGTGTGAGTTCTGTGATATGTGCTTATTAAAAACATCTCTCTAGAAAGTCTATTAAAATGCTGCAGTATAAACAAAACTAGTACTGATAGTAACGTACTGTTGTAGGGAAGGTGAAAACTAAAGTACGTTAGCTCTGTATGATTTAGAGTTTTACCAATGGCTCATAAAACTGGACCTTTTTCCTTAGCCTAGTTCTAGTACCTTGTAATTCTAGTATTTACAGATATCTTTATAATAATAGTTCAGCTGGTTCTTGGGGTGGGGAAGCTGAGTCTGTGGGAACAGCTTAAGCATCAGATTTCTGATTCCTCGGTTTATAAAGTGACATGCAACTCAGCTGACGGACTGCACTGCTGCAGTAACTTCCCAGGGAAGCAGTGTTGAAGTGGGGAATGGTGGTCAACATCTTCAGCTGAATACAGACTGCAGATGTAAGACCCAGGAAAACCACCTTAGAGAGGCTCAACTTGGTAGCTTTGAAAGAATGACCTTCAGCTTTCAGCATGATCTTTGTAGGACCTCAAGCAGATGATCTACAATACTCCAGAGGGTTGCTGTTTGTTGTTCTTTTTCCTGGTTTGAAGAAAACCTGCTTACCAGGCTATATATGCAAACAAGGAGACAATACCAGGGTGTACTTGGAAGAGGTAGTTAATGAGCATTCAAAGCATAGCCCAGTTCCTTTTAAGTGAAAGCTGTTGTGGCATTGCTACAAAGATTTTGTTTTGCCAGTGGTTGTTTTTTATTCTTGGTTTGTGGTTTCTTTTCTTTCCCTCTCCCCCCCCCCCCCCCAAAAAAAAAAAAAAAAAAAAAGAAAAAAGTGTAGGTGGCCTTAAGCTGCCAAAATAAAAATGAGCCTGCACTGGGACAGACATACGGCAGAGGATTAAAATCCTAATAGGTTATGCTGTCACTGCTGTCAAACTCCAGTTTAGTTTGCCTTTATATGCAGAGCTGAAAGGTGTGCTGGTGTTTGAACTGATTCACAAGCTTCTGCCTTGAGGGTGACTTGGCTTATTAGTGAAGTGTAGTTGCTGCATACTGCTTTAAGCCACTGCTGCATGTCTGTCAAACCAGTTTAAAAGTGTTTTTATACAGGTAATAAGTGCCACCTTTCTAGTGTTTAGAATCCATCTGTAGTAATTATAGCCACCAGCTAGAAAAAAGTGAAATAGCCTTGCGCTGAAGTCAGAGTAGTTGTGACTGTTGTGTCTAGTGTGATCAGTGCTAGTGACACATAATACACTGGCATATCTGGCAAAAAGACTTTGAACTACTTCTAAGTGGTATTGGGTAACAGAACTGAAGACTGTCTTTTTAAAATTACTTTTGCACCTCAATGTTTTGGCATTGCTTTACTTGTTTTAAGGAGCTCTTCGAATCGGAAGGTGTAATTGAGGTTAATAGTAAGTGCTTAGGGGAAGGTGGTCTCTGACTAGTGCATTCTTGCCAAGTTAATCTGTTTAGAATAACTGATGTTTCTGATAGCCAGTGAGAAACTGAAAAATAAATAAAAATGTGCTCTGTATTGCACTTGTGCATTCATATCCAAACAAAATAATTAAACATTAGGTCAGAAATCAGTCACTCTTTCCACAGCAAGATTCTGGTTTGGAATTATCACTTGTATAGTTGGTGGTGTAGTTGAGATCTGTATCGAGTAGACATGTACAGTATGTACAATTCTATGTACTTTAAAGTTTTGCTATTTATTGAAACATCCTGGTTTGAAAGGCTTCCTCAGAAACTGGTTTCAAAAGTTGCCCTTTATCCGGAGTATACATTGTAGTTTTTTGGGGATGCAAGTATGCTTGTTGCTGTGAGGGCTGAGAAACTTCAAACCTTGAGGAAAATTACTGGAGTATCTTATGTCAAGTGGTGTGTACTTTAAAGAAAAGCAAAGCTTATGTTACTTCTCCAGCACAGACAAAACTGTCCTTTGTGTACAGATATGACCGTCCTCACTGCATAACAAACTTGTTTTATCATTCTTGTACCTTATTTGCTGAGTGGGTAATTCTTTGAGGCCTTGTTTTTAAAGGTGATGTTACAGTCTTCATGCTTGCCACTGAAGCTTTCATCAGAGATCTTATAGGGCATTTCTGTGGAGCTATGAATTAATTTTGTCTCAATATTGTGTGGTAGAATAGACTTTTTTTTCTTTTATGTACTATATATGTGTATGGGTTGAGTGGATAACCTCAGTTTATTCTCTCCTATAATACACAATTTCTGTGCATTCACCCTGCCCAACCTGTTCCTCCTTAACCCTGACAGTGGCTGAAAAAAAACCCACAAAAAGCTTAAATATGTTTTACCTTGAAATATATTGACATTTTGACAATTCGTGGTGTTGGAGTCTTTGTACTTAATGCTTGGGTTTCTGCCACTTAAACCCAGTGACTTCTCATGTAGGTGAATGGTCCTGTATTTCAGAGAAAAGTACCAGAAGGAGGTGACCCTCTTCTGGTTATTGCATACTGTAACCGTGAGCTTAAAGAAAAGGTGCAGGCTCAGACCTCTAAATTCAGCTCATTTGGCAAGAGGTGTCTTGTCTTATGACAGACAACTAAGGTCTAACAGTCCTTCTCTTTCTCCCACCTTTTTTGCTCTGTAGTACACTAGCAAGATCTTTGAGAGAACATGAGAGCAACAGTTTTTGTTCTCCATTTCTGAGAGCAAAATGAGGTTTTTCTGTAGCCTATCTTTTTTCTGAAAATGTGTGAGCTGTTGTCAATATCCATAATATTTTTTTCCTGATCGATACAAAAGGGAAAGTAATTGAATGTCTTTAAAACAGAGAGTCTGGCAACATTAAGTGCTTTTTGGTTTGGGTGGGCTTGCAGAAGACTGTAAGGTGTAATCAGCTCATTTCAGTTAGTAGTTTGATAACTGCAATTCAGTTACTACTAAACTGTTAGTAATCCGTATGTGTGTGTTTGTGTAGGCCAGAAGCGAGCACCCTACTGGGGAGAACAGCAAGGATTCAATAACAGAAGAGCAGAGGTGAAACAAGACAAAAATGAAGAGAGACCATATTTCGGAAAATATTGTGCCAATGAAACAGAAAGACAAGTGGAACCTACAGTGGAAAGGTATGTATCATAGAGGGAGAAGTAAGGTGCCTTGTGGAGGGTCTGCACAGGGTTGGGAAGGGAAAGGTTTAACCTTAAAACAGATCTAGTAGCCAGATGTAACTTAAAGGTATGGTTGCATTAATGTGTAGATTTGCTGAAAGATTGGTTCTTGCCCACCAGAGCTGCAACTTCAGCTTCCTTGCAGGTGGATTTGGAATGATTGTGTTAAATGTTAGAAATATAAGGCAAAACTGAACAGTGTGAGAATGTGAAAACCTAACTCCTAGTCTGCAGCATAAATGTTCATGTCTGAGCTCTCATACCATTCAAGCTTTGCAGAACATGTGGTGCAGGCTCCAAGTTGAATGGATTTTACTATTCAAACTGAAAATAAACTTTTGTTGCACTATTCACTACTGGATAGTGAATGCATGTCCATTTTGCTTTCCTTACAAGTACTATAAAAGCCCGCCTAAACCCTTAATGCTTGAGAGCATGTCTGTTCTTACTTTGTATCACAATAGTTGGTATTTAACAAGTTCCCTGAAATTTTTAGCAGTTGCATATGCGTCTGTGTTTAGAGAGTGGGCTATTGACTGATAAAGCTGATGACGATTTGACAGTTTTATAATGTATTATTTAACTTCTTGGATGTTTTCAGTGTTGCCAATAAACAGCTGAACTTTCCATTCCTGTTATTTGTATTCAGTTTATATCTATTTTTAATGACAAAACTAACACAACTGTACTGTGTAAAGATGTGCTCTAAACATTGAGTGGTAGCTCTAACACTCTGATGTCTCTCACAGCTGCACAAATACAACCATGCAATTTTTTTTCTTCAACTGTTCTGTCTGAACAAAAATCTGACTAGAAATCTTGATTTTAGATCAACTGAAAGATTAGACCACCATGAAAGGCCAGTAAGAGGTTGTGGCAGAGAAGGTGGAATGTGAGGTAGAGGAAGAGGTAGTGGAATAAACAGAAGTTTTGATGACTTTGATCAGAGAGGAAGATGGGAGTTTGAAATACAAAGCAGGAATGTGAAAATATAAGTGTTCTGTGTGCTGCTTCTTATTTGGTGTACAAGTAAGTAACAGCCAGCACTGCAGTAGTGTCTCCTGTATATTCTGATCCTTTCTTCTATATCCAGGTTGGTTGGCAAAAAGTCAGTGCTGGTTTTAGTTTGAGGTCCTAATGAAAACAAGCTCTTAAACTCACAGAACCCTTCTTTTCTCTCTAGAGGAGTGAAAGCAGCTGACAAAAAGGGTGGAAGTGGAGCTTACAGCTGGAGAAGAGTTAAAGATGATACAAGGTAAAAGATAAACTTGTGCCTGTCATAGATCATCATTTGATATGGTCCGTCTTATATTATCATGTTCCATTCAGTGATTTCATGTACATTTTGAGTCTTGCGTTCTATTAGTTGTTTTGATGAATGTAGTTTTGCAGTTTTCTGGCCTCACCTGCTTCATATTGGAAAGATTAAATTGTAGCAAAGGCATGGGTGATGTTTCTTCTTTTTTTTTTTTTTTTTTTTTACGGGGGCCAAATCTTTTAGCTGAAATGAGCTATGATTTTTCTCAATAGTCTCAATATGACTTTTTCTCAATACGCTACTCTTTTCAGTAGCTTTTGTTCTTATATATATGTAGAACTCTTTAACTGAAGGCTGGTAAAGGACAGGGAAAAGGCAGCACTTTGAACTTACAGCAAAAATCTGTAGCCATAGGCACACTGATTCATGAAATTGTAAATAAAAAACCAACCAACCAAAGAAAAAAAAACAACCCACAAACTTTTTTTAAACTTAAATGGTGGATTCAGACAATCTGGTTAAAAGGCTGAAAAATACAGCCTTGATGGATAATAATTTTCAGACTTAATATTCCACATTCTCATGAAAGGTTGTACTAACTTCCATCTCTTCTATAAAATTTCTTACTAAAAGATTGGTTAGGTTACTTCTCAAAATGAAGGATCAACTAGCTTAACATAATTCTGTGGTGACAGCACAAAACTAGCTGACCAAAATCACAAAACCATCTTCTATAGGATGTCAGGGAAGGTTGTGTGAACTTCATAAAATACAAGAAATTCAAGATCCGTTATATTTTTTTTTAGTTCAGTAGCGTCAGAACTTGATACAAACATGAGATGCCAATGCTTTCTTGTGATGTAGTGTGTGTGGTAGAAGAGGCATTAAATTGGAGTTGTCTAAACAATTCAGAAAGCATGTCTGTGCCTTAATTGTGCTCAATGATGCATTAGAGTTATGTTTCTTTCATTCTGTTGGTAGGCATACATATTTAAAATTAAGTGCTTGTTCACTGTCAAATGAGAGCGGTAACTTATGTCCATGTTACGGAAAAAAATAAGTATAAATTTTACCATTTTAATAGGAGAGAAGAAACAAAAAGGCAAACCCAAACACCAGTAATAAGCTGTAATCAAGTACTGGTGTTACTGTTTACTGTTGAATTATTTTGTCTTCATGCATGCTTTTCACTTATTTTGATAGTACACAGAAGTCAGATTTTTCTTACGCTTCTCGTTTTGTTAGTTGCCTGTTGTGGTTTAAGCCCAGCCGGTAACTCAGAACCATGCATCCACTCACTCAGTCCCCCCCCACTTCCTCCTCCCTCTCCTGGAGGCATGGGGAGGAGAACTGAAAGAATGTAGCTCCCAGGGGTTGAGATAAGAATGCTCCAGTAACTAAGGTATAACACAAACCACTGCTGATGCCACCAATGATAATAATGATAAGGGAAATAACAAGGGAAGAGAATGCAACTGCTCACCACCTGCCGACCAATACCCAGCCCAACCTGAGCTGTGATCTAACCTTTCCGGGTAACTGCCCCCAGTTTATATAGTGGGCATGACGTGCTGTGGTATGGAATACCCTTTTGGCTAGTTTGGGTCAGGTGTCCTATCTCTGCTTCCTCCCGGCTTCCCCTCCTCCCTGGCAGAGCATGAGACTCAGAAAGTCCTTGGTCAGACTCAACATTACTGGGCAGCAACTAACAACATCGGTGTTATCAGCGCTGTTCCCAGGCTGAAAGTCAAAAACACAGCACTGCAGCAGCTACTAAGAAGGAGAAAAATGACTGCTACTGCTGAACCCAGGATATTGCCTCACTAGTCACTTAGTAGGTCTACTTTCTGCTTATGTTTCTAGAGGAGTTTTCCTCTTTTTTTTTTTTTTTTTTTTCTGTCTCAAGGAATGCTTGGAAAAAATGGTGTATGGATCAGCAAGGGCTTTTTTTCTAATGCATTTGTTTATTGTTCTTTTTTGCTTATTTGTTTACCATTTTAGTGGGATGGAACAGACTGCTCCTATGGAAGAAACTGCAAAAACAGATGAGCAGCCAGGGGCATCTGGAGGAGAGTCTCTGAACAAGTATAGTCTCACTACAGTATTTTCTTTATAAATGCAAAAAAAAAACAATTGACTTACTGATACACTTGTATTGGGAGACACACTTGAAATGGAACTGTGAAGTTTTGCTACTACACACTTCAAAAATACAAAAGCTTTGTCTATATGTGTGAATCATGAAAATGCATCTCTAATTCTTCACAAAAGCTTGGTTTATACAGCTGCAGATTGCATTTGGTTGCCTAGTGATCCTTAAGTTCCTAAGATTTGGTGATGATTTAAGAAGGAGCTGTATATTGCCTGTTTCCTTTTAATTTGGCCTGTTTGTAAAAACTACCCTGCTTTCTGAAGTTCTATGAGGAAAAAGGATTGAAGATGCCTATGCAGTCATACAAACACAATCAAAATACACTAAGATAAAATTCTGTAAGTCAGTATTCATCAGTCACTACTACCATGCAGTTGTCACATACTCATGAAGGGCCTCTTCAGAGCTTGAAACTTGTTGGAAATAATCTTGCACTGAGCCTTAGGAGTAGGGAAATTGAGAGAGAAATCTACCAGTTTTCTGGCTTTCATTATGATCAGTGTCCAATGAGAATTTACAGCAAATAAACACTGCCATAAGAAAAAGTAACTGGGCAGTCTTGTCCAAGTAAAAGACTTCAAAGAATAATCAAATAGCATGTGGTGAATAGGTCCTTCTGACCTAGTGGTGCAGCTCCAGTTATTAGTGGCTTTGTTAATTTCTTGTAAGAAGTGGAATTGATGCAGTTTCAATTCTTTTAAATTTTAAACTGGCTTTTAATGAACAGTTATATAGGAGGAAATCTGTCTCTGAAATTAACTGATTGGGCTTCCAGAAAACTGTATCTAGACTAACTTAAAGTTGGATGCATAATGTACATAAACTATCAAAAATGCATGGTATTAGCTAAATATGAGAACAGTTATTCAGTTTGGTTTTGTTTAATTGCCAGCTACAAGTACTTTTTATTTGTTTCAGACTTACCGTGTTTCCACTCCAGGCTCTTTGTAGATACATCCTGATGTCAGTCCCTTGTAGAGCATAAGGCATGAGAAAAGTGGCAGATTCAGTCAGATATTTTTTCCAGTTGCCTTTAATTCTTTTTGCTTTCTCAGGAATCAATAGGTATTCAGTCAGACTGTGAACCTTTCTAGAGATTTTACTCCTCCTCATGTTTTTAAAGAAATCTTTGTTTAGGAATAGTCCATTGAAATCTGTAAGATTAAAAAGTGCAAGTAACCTCCAAGTACAAAGTTCTGGTTTGTGTATGTTTCCAGTGTGGTAAATAGTGTCCTGAAGACTTAGAAATCTGTATACAAAATACAAATTGCATATACCTCATTGCACTTACCTGTGGGAATAGTGTCAGCTTGCTGACTATGTGTTTTATAATAGGAGATGTGTGAATATCATGTAGGTAATTAGGAAGGATTGTATGGCATACACCTTAACAAGGTGGAATATTTTTAAATTGTTCTTTTAATATTAAGAAACAAGAGCTGGTGGATGTATTTTAAGGTGTTACTTGTTTAGGTTGCCCCTGCTCTCCAGAGGTGCTGGCTTCTGGCAGGTAAAACACCTCATCAAAATATTCTAACTAGATTACCTTCTGCTTTTGCTGCAATCTCAATACTGGGGTGTAGGATGTGTGTTTGCTTAAGCTACTGCTAGGATCGTTCTCATTTTGACTCTTAAATGCAGCGACTCCAAAGAATCCTTTTCTTGCCTACAGCTTGATTGCAATTTTGTGCTTGCATTGAGGAAGAGATGGAAGACTTGGATTGTTTCTTCTTTTACAGTCTTTCCTATTGTAACTGCTTCCATTTAAAAGAAATGGGGGGAAGTTTCTTTAATTCTTCTACGATATAAATCAAGGGTGTTTTTTTCCATATCTTCGCGTTTTCTTGAATATATCAACAATATCTATTTCTGCTTATAGTATCCCAAACTCCATGCTAATAAGTTGGGGTATTTTTGCTGCAAGCAGTAAGTATAGAATGTACAAGTACACAGCAGTATAAGCTTTCCTCACAGGTGCTTTCAGTTGAGCTTGTTTTCACTGTCTGAACAATGTAACATGCTTGTGTTGACTGGTAATTCAAATGAATAGATTTTTCTTTTTACTCAGTATGACAAAGCCTGATCAATTCCTATCAAAGGTGTTTGCAGAGTTAGTATTTATTCTATGGGGCTTGCTTGCACTTCTTCACACAGGACTGTCTTTTTGGTGGAGCTGAATATTCTTCTGGTCATTTAATAGGAAACTTCAAAAGTTTGTCTTCAAGTTTGCAGGGCTATTTACCTTTTGTTTGGTTTTGGGGGTTTTGTTTGTTTCTTTTGGGGGTTGGGTGGTGGGAGGTTGGTTGGTTTTTTTGGTTGATTGTTTAAGAGTGACAGGCAGCTATCTACAGACCAGGCCAGCTCTTCATCAGGATTTGGTTCAGTGTTTTTCTTCTATAGTTAACTTGTACAGTTGCTGCTTGGTATGACCGTGTTTAACTCCTGTAGATTGTGTCTAATAGGAAAGATTGATCTAATTGATTTCTTGGTAAAAACTGAGTAAGAATTCACTTTGTATATCTGAATCTGAAAAAACGTTCTGAAAAAGACCTGCTATCATTATTTTTAATTAAAATAATCAGCCATATAGCTAAGTGCCATGGGTATTTCTCCTGCATGTTATTGTATTCACATAGAGTGGTTCCTGCTAGAAAGGAATGCACAGTAAACAAGGCGTAGGTAGAGGTTTATGGTCATCCATTGAAAGCAGTGAGGCTGTAGGAACCATTACTGAAGAGTCCTGTTTGGTGTTTCGGTATGTGCTTGCACTGTGAATTCAGTTTGCCCTTGTCTCACAATATTTTGTAAGCATGTTTGGTGGCATGCTTGATTAATGAAGATGTGCACCAAGCAGTTACTGAAATACGTAAGGTTACAAGGTAGAAAGTCATGCACTGAGTGCACTTCCATGCAGGCTTGGTGCCCAGAATAACCTGCTGCCATCAAGTCTCTGACCAAAATGTAATGTGCAGGTTCCTTTTGCTGTGATTCACTAGTGGGAGGTGTTTCCCCTTGAGAGTCTTAGCAACCTAAAACACACTTGTACTGCTAATAACCTATCAGTTGAAGCCATTCTTTGGAGTAAAAATCAAACCATTCTTTATGGTTGAAAAACCAGACATTTGCAGTGTAAATCCACTAGTATTTCCTTTAGAACAGGTAAGTGGTCATTTCTTTATAGATGTTTACTTATCAAAGCAATACTTTTTTTTTCCCTTTTTTTTTTTTTTGAGAAGTCAAGTTGCTGTGTAGTGAAATGTCCTTGTGTTGTCTTACAATCATAGAAATTTAGATCTAAAAGGGATCTTGGTGACTTAAGGTATGACCAGACATATGTGTGCCACTTTTCATATCTGTCTAGGTGACTTTAATGTCTTCTACTGATAGTTTGGTGTTCCTTGCTGGTCTTTCCAATACTTTGAAAATAGAAATTGCTGTGTTTGGGGTGTTTTTCTCCTGAGAAACACAATGAATGTGCAAAAATTAATTTATTTTTTACTGTTATGTGTTTCCTTCTTTTTTACTGTTATGCATGTTTCCTCCTCAGAATCTCTTTAAAGGTTTCCCATGTAGATCATGTATTTTAGACCTATCTGTCTTGCAGTTCTATTTTGGACTTTTTCTGCCTGTTTCCACATAGAAGACATTACTCAGTTGAGACCTTGTTCCACCCCAGGAGCAGTGACATGTGTTCCAAATAAAACTGTATCTCTTTATGATAGTACACTGTTGCAGAAGAGAAAAATACTGTTGATTTCAAGTTCAGTTTGACTGGGTAAACATCAATATTCTTGCATGGTTTGGGGAGTTTGGGGTCCCTCTTTTGGAGCTTCTGCCTTGCTATTCTTTCTGTGTTTGGATAGCTGATGCTTTTGCTTGAGTTATGTATTTCTGCCTGTCCTTGGGACTTGCAGGTGGTGGTTGTTTTGGTTGGTTGTTTTGGAATTACTTACTGGGCCTTAGCATTTCATATCACTGAAATGCTAAGGTCGGTCATTCAGCATTCTTGAACACTTGGGCTATTGCCCTTTTCTTTCACAAGCTTCTTGCTGTAGAAGATGTGTTTAGAAAATTACACTGCTGATAACTGCACAGAGCTGGCCTCGTAGCTCCACTCAGATGCTTGTTTTTCTTTTGCAAGTTGAAAAATTGACCACTCCTTCTCCATATACTTGTTGCAGCCAATTCTGTATCTTTCTACAGCTCTTACCAAGGACTGAAATACCGTCTCCCTAACATGGTGAAAACCTAATGTGAGAGGATGACAAAAGACTCCCTAAAGTTCAGATACGCCATTTATTGATTCTGTCCCACGGGTAGTGGCTTAGGCAGAAATTAAACCAGTTTCATAGAACCCCTTTTTATTAGTGTAATTTCTCTTTTTATTTCCTCTGGGTGCTTGCAACTGGTCCTGCATTTCCAGCACCCATTCTCAAAACTGAAGCTTCAGATAATTAATGAAAAAAGAATTATCTGGCTTCTTACTCTTGAGGACAACAAATTGGAATGTTTGGGGTGCAGTTATTTCTGAAGGCTCTTGCACATGGAACACTGTCTGTTGGTGTTTTTCCAGAAGCAGCTGAATCTATCACCTCTATGTTTCTTTCATTTAACTCACTAAACCAGTTCTTTTTCTTAACAGTCTTTCTAATACAGTTTCAGATCTTCTTAATCTGTACAGAACTACAACTGCTTACCAGTCTTCTAACCCTTAGCTTCTGGTTCATGCAAGCTGTAATTTTCAATGAGCAGGGCATGAAGGCATGTCAGAGGGTAGGCATATAGTACAGGACTTGCATATTTTTTATTTAATTTTTCTGCAAACTGCATTTAAATCTGTGTTCATTCTAGAACCCAAATTACTGTTCAGTTCTGCTTCTGCCTGTCATATGCTGTATTATTCAGGAAGATACTGTGTCATTTTGAATTGCAAGAAATGGATTGTTCTCTGAAATATCAAGAGGGAGCAGGCCTGTTCTTATACAGGCTAGTTCTAAATGTACAGAACACTTCCAACAGATGTGTGTGTTCTGATGGGGTGCTTGTACAACTTCAGAAGCAAAATTCACAGTTCACTGTCATTTGACTCTGTGTCTTTCCATGATAAAATAAATTTACAGCTTGCATCTGATCAGCTGTGTATTTACATTGGAAAAATCATCAGCATTTGTTAGAACATGACTTAGAACTGTGATTGAGTGAGGAAAACCAAATACATAGTTCTCCTACTAGAAGGGACCTAATTATGAAAGGGTTTGCTGGAAAAATCAATGTTAGGGAAATACTTAACCAAGTTTGACTGCTATTGCAATGTGTAACAGTTTTGTGTGGGAAAAGGAAGCAATGGTTTCTCAAGTATCTAGGAGTAATCAGTGTAGGTTTTCTTGTAGTTCATGGTATTTGACTTGTTTCTCAGCAAGCAATTATGATGATGAAGTGAGCTGTGTTCCCTGCATGTGATGCTACTTAGTAGAAGACGGCTTTCCTCAAATACCGGTACGCTGCACCCGTAGTGTACTCCAATAGCTGATGGTTCTGGGCAACTCGGTTTTGATCAGCCTCAGAAAAATGGCAGAAGAGTAGTCAAGCACTGATGTGTGGAGAAGAATCTTTAGTTTTGACTTATGTATTTTGTCTTATGAATACAGACAAAGCCTTGGACTTTTGTCTTTATATGCAAGGCAGACTCCAATGTATTCCATGTGTTTTCCTTGAATATATCATCATTATTGCACTTTGTGACCAATTAAAACTGGACTAGGGTTAACCTAGTTTTGCAGATGATAAATACTGTCTCCTTGTATGCTACTACATCTGACAAAAGAAATCAAAGAAGCATTTTATGAAATTAACAAAGAAAATGTTAATAATTACCTAGAAGATCTTACAGCATGAGCACCGTGGCTGAAAGCTGCACTGAAACATGAATCTATCTCATTGTCATCCTGTAGTACAAGTCACTGCAGTACAAACCATGCAATTGGAGTATTTTAATACAGTTTTAAAATTATAGATTCAGTGTTAAACAGTAGGGTAGAGAATATGTTACATCAAAAGACACACTGTTTTTGTCTAGAATCTGAAGTGCTTGAACTTAAAATGAGACTAGATAAATACCAGAACTTACTACAGGAGGCTGGAGACAGCATTTGTTCATATGAGTAATTTCAAGCAGGCGATTAAATATATTTTCCAACATACATTAATGTAAGACTCGCACATTAAGTTACTATGGGGAGTAAGTGAAATTGAGGATAGTAATTTGATGAGAAGTAATCCAAATATTTTGTTCAGTATCTTTAGTGTTTTTGTTCGTCCTGGCATGTTGCAAGCTAATGGTTTTTATTTTACAACTATAAATCTCTATAGAGTTCCTGAAGGAGAGACAATGGAAGAAGTAGTTCAAGAAATGACATTAGATGAGTGGAAAAGTCTTCAGCAACGGAATCGACCAAAGCCTGAATTCAACATTCGGAAGCCAGAATCCATTGTTCCTTCCAGAGCAGTGGTGATTCACAAGTCAAAATACAGCAACCACGTAAGCATTGCCTGAGGATTCCCTGCTTTATACCCAGAATTAGGAAACAGTCTCTATTGTTTTTTTACTAGCTTTAGTACATTCTGAACAGCCTAGAAATCAATATCTAAACTTGATTACTGTAATGACATATGTGCCTCAAAACTTGCTTTAAACTTAATGTCTGTTCATTTTCTTTTCTCAGATCATCACCCCTATTTTGTCTACAAATGTATCAAGTTGTGCTACTGTATGGCTCACACTTAGCAATATGAAACCTGTGTCCTTGCTGGTGCCACCTAGGCAGATTTCTGGTAGTGCTGCTAGAGAAACTTGTGTTTGCTAAACACTACTTACCCTAACTTTGAATCCTGTTTAGCTTACTTGCCAGTATACACTTGCATGTATATATTAAACTTGGGTTAATATAATTATAGGTTAATAACTTAGTCTGGATTTTAAGTGTCCTATTTCTCATCTGTGCTGAAAAACAGCTTTCACTGCGCATTTGGAATACATAAATTCTTTTAGTACTGCTTTTTATCTTTCACTTTTGGGGTCCTGCTTCTTAGAAGTAACTCTGGAGAGCTTGTTCTATAGCAGTGTGCTTCCCCCCCACCTCAACCCCCCTTTTTCCCTAACTTTTATTCCATGATTCTACTCGAACTGCCATTTTAGGGGGAACATCTAGTTTGGTTTTTTTTTGTATGATTAGGGTGAGAGGGGAGACTTCTTTCACAGATTCTTGCTTACTAAGATTTCAGATTTTTTTATGTCAAAATAGTCTAGCCTAATGGAATTTTTAATGACTGCATGCATGTATAGATACACATAGTGTCCTTTGTCTTGTTATAATATCAAAACTTACAGCTTTTTAAGCCTCAATCGCTTCAGGTCATTGAGCACTTCCAGGGACAGATGCTAATACTGAAGTGGCCTGCATTCTATTTAGCATGGCTTTTGGTAGTCACAGTTGTCATTATCCTCTTCATCCTTCTCAGAGGGATATGGTGGCAAGGGTAGAGTGAATATCTTTCACAAGCTTTGAAAAGACTGTGGAAGTACATGAGGTGTGCATGCAAGTTTCTGTTCTTTTTGCCCATGAAGTTTCTTATCTGGTAGTATCAAGGGACCTTGTCAAAGTGAACATAGAATAAGAGCTGTGGGGAACTGCGTAGCACGGACAAGTCAAATCCCTGCATTAGACATTGAATAAAGTAAGTGACTTATCACTGTATGGAATGGGTTTATACATATATGTTATTGTTACTATAGTGCACATTAGAATTATGATGGGAAGTAATCTTACATCCACTACAGCTACTAGAAATATCCAGAGTTAAAACAACAGTAATCTCATAGCTGCAGACAGACTAATAGGTTGCTTAGTAGCCAGATACTGTGCATTACTGCAGCCTTTTAACCGTTACTTCAAGATAATTGTAGAAGTGAGTAAGCTTAAGCCTTATTCCCCTGTCCATTAGAAAACCTCATAGATAGTACTTCTGGAAATCCTCTTCAGTGTTACAGAGCTGATAATGAATGATTTTGTGGCCAGGACAAAATCAATCTGAGCCAATGAGGAGCTGTCCCAGCTACCTGGGAAGCTACGGTTGTCTCACCTCAGTTAAAACCTTGTGCAAGTTAAGGCCTGTCTTCTGTTCTAGATGTTGTCGTGATTTATCTGCTGCTTGGTCTGTAATATGTACATAGCGGGAAGGAGAGAAGGTTGTATGTGGAAGCTATAGGCTTTAACCAGATTTCTTTTTTTAGTTGCAAAAGGAAGATTATGAAGATGATTCTCCTGTCTTCCGAAGACCAGTGAATGACATAACATCTCAGCTGGATATTAATTTCGGGAGTCTTCCTCGCCCTGGCCGTGGATCAAGAGGAACACGAGGTGGTGGTCGTGGCAGACAAGTTGAGGAGAGAAGACCTCAATCAGCAGTAATGGTAATGGATTTTATGTGTCTTCTTGTTGCTTGCCCGGGGATTTTTCTTGGTGGTTGGTGTGCATGTGTTAGGAGAGTGGCTGCTGCCTGAACATTCACACGCTATTCAAGGAGTTACACACACACCAACCAAGACTTAAACTGCTAGGACTGGAGTTCCTCTGCAGCAGATGGTTCCACTGACCTGGTGGGTGCCCTATTTGACTTCTCGGACACACTCACTTCCTCCTTCAGGCTCTTTCCCAGGTTTCCTGCAGCAGAGTCTCAGTTGTTCAATTGCAGGAAAAAATAATTTAATAATTGAGTGGTACAGCAAAAGGGACAGCTGGAGCTGGGTGTCTCCGTAGAGGGGCCCTGAACAAAGAAATCCCTGGGCAAGTATACCCTTGTGATTTGTTCACCCACCCCTCATGGGCCTTTTTAGTCTAATGGTGACTTTTTGATGTGGGGTCTTCTAACACCTTACTGTATTCTTTCTCTGTCTTCATACAGGCAGGCTGTTAACTGTTCTTATCTTGTTGAGTTGCAGCTTCTGCTGATGGCTGCAGCCTCTTTATCTTCTGGTTTGTCCCACTTGTGCGTCTGCTTGTCAGCAGAGCACAGGACACTAGAAAAAGTCCTAGACCTAGGATAAACATTATTTAGCAACAACTAGATTTGGTGTATTGTCAACATTCTTCTCACACTGAAGACAAAACACAGTGCTGTACTAGCTACTAGGAAAATTACTAAGAAAACTTAACTCTATTCCAGCCAAAAGTTATAGTTTATGGCCTAAGGCTTCAATAAATCTAGCTGCTCATGCTAAGCAAGTAAAGCTAAGCAAATGGCATACTAAACTCTATGTACAGTTTGTTATGCTGTATACATACAGCATAATACTATAAGCGACTCAGACTAAAGCTTAATTATTTAAGCTAAACTGTCTCAACAAGTGTGTGTGTCCCTGCCCCCTTTTCTGTGGAATTACTGATTTCTGTAGTGACAGACTTGTTTCTAATTCCTGCGCATAGTATGCTGACCTGGTTATTTTGAGTTCCTGACCCAAAATTAAATACTGGTTCAGGCTCACAACTCTTAACATATATATTTCAAAAGGTCTGATTACTAGTTGCTGTAATGGTAACTAGAGGAAAGGATGTAATAAAGATCTGTTTCTGAAATGAGTTTTTATATAAATTGAAAAATAATTAAAATAAGAAGCCTTATATCACTTACAGCAAATTTCAGTATGGTACAGTAATAGTTTGATTACTGAGAGTGAGATCAGTAAGTAAATTTGGGGTCATGCAGCATCCTACAGAATGAGACAAGTGTTCAATGTAACCATAAAAAAAACCTCTACTGACCATTTTCTTTCAAGAAAAAAAAAAACAAGGCAGCATTTGTGCACTGAAAAAGAATATCTTTTTCTTTCTGCTAAATGAAGGTCTTGGTTTAATTCTGTCTAGTATGAGTCAAGTAGTTTAAGGTTGGGAACTTATAGAATAATGCAGAAGCAAGTTGATGCATTTGTTTCATCTGAGTGAAAAAGGCTCTTTAAGCACACAGCATAGAATTTAAAACTACAATCTGATACGTGCAGTAGCCTCAGAATGTAACAAGATAATAATGCAGCTACTAAAAATGGACAGTATTTTGGGCAAGGTTGCTTTACTTTTTTTTCTTCATTTCAGTGCTGCAGAACTTGTGATCCTATGGTCCTCCTCAGGTCGTGGATCAGTTCATGCTGAAGACATTACAGTAGTCATAACTCCTGAGAATAAATACGTAGTGTTTCTGTGATAGTGATGGATACAAAGAAAAATTAACCCTTTTCAGGATAAAATACATATCTATAGTTGTCAGTTTTTTTTGAAATGCATTCATTTTTCTATAAGGCTTTCTTTTTTACTTTGTAGGTGGAGCTTGTTGCTCCAAATCCTGATGACCCTGAGGATTTTCCAGCTTTGGCGTGAAGAACAGTCATGGATGGTGACATCTCAGCGTAGTCTCTGAAGGGACCAGTTTTATGTGGGTGCCGATAAAATCTCTTCCAACTGGAAAAGCTGTTTGGGTATTAGATGTAGAATGATTGCAGATGTCTGCTAATGGTGTTGGGTTCTAGAGACACTGGTGGACTGGGATCTTGTCACAGTCCAGTGTCTGCTTCCATCTGTGAAAACTGTGTGAAGGCTTACAGTCCTTGACTACAAGGCTTCTAATGAAGTTCAAGAGTACAGTGTTTAAAAATGTGTATATAGAGATTATGTTAAGTTCTCCACAGTGAAAATGTGAACCATGGTGAAGTGTAAACTGCACAACATGGTCTGCAGCTGGGACTCTATTTCACTGTGTATTTGAAACCTGCTTTCCCTGTTTCTTTGAGTGAAGAGTATATTTCACAATCATATGTTGCAGTTCTTTATGAGTTTAGCAGATAAAGGCTCACTGGTTTTGGTTTGAGGTATTATTTTCACAAGTCAGAGAAGCAGACTGGACCTTTTGCTGTTTGGATCCAGTCTGAAAAAAAAAACAAAAACCACACAAACAAAAAGCCCCACGTAAACAAAAAACCCACCACAAAGTGAAAACCCAAACCAAACAAAAACCTCTCTACCCCCCCTCAAAAAAAAGCAAACCAAAGCCAACAATGAAAAATTAGCAAAACCAAACCCAAAACCAAACCAATCTAAACAGCAGATCTTACTTGCCCAAACAGTGAGCATCTGTGTAAGCAGAAATGATCTTTAAAATTAAGGCTGCAGATTCTTTCAACTAGTAGTTAACCTCAGTCTTACTTCAGTAACAAGATATAATCTGCAACTCCTTTGAAGATGTTGAAGTATAGTAAGAACATTTAGCTAATGACAGAACTAAACTGTTAAACATTTCATTTTAGCAGGAGTTGACTACAAACTACAATGTTTCATGCCTTACACACAAACAAGAGGGGATGAGGGGGATATCCTTTCCTTGCAGCTTTAACATACTTCCTCACTTGAGCCACATACCCTAGCATTCCTTGTCAAACAGGGTGGGGACACTCAGAGCCATTCTCAGGGATGTGAGAGTAGCAAGGATGTGATGCCAAAAGTGATGAGGGAAAGAGATGAGAGGACAGCCACACTGGATGTTTTGGATATAGCTGTCAGCCTCAAAGGAGTCTACAAATGCCTGCTCAACTTGAACTCATTTTTTCTGTTTGCTGGGAAAGCAGATGAATATAAAGTTTGGTTTTTGTTTTTTTTTTTCCTGTGCTCTGCCTCACTTTGTTTTGTGTCACTTCGAGGCAGTCTCCTTTGCAAGCAAATAGTGGATGAGATGAATTAAAAAACCTATTGCTTATGAGTGAGCTTTACGAGTGTTCAGAAACTTATCTCAGTGGGAAGGGTTTACAGAGTAGGATATAATAGTCCTAGAAAGACTACTGACTCTTTTCTAAATGCTCCAGACAGATGGTCTGTGAAGTAGTGCTGCCCAAAGGACCTTTTTTACAGTTAAATTACTGATGTGACAATTAGTTATAATGTGAGATTTCAGATTCCACAAGTTGCTTGTTGTAGTGGCATAGAGATGCTCAGACAACCTGTAATAAAACTGTGCAAAGGCAAAAGAAGAGCCGGTTTTAGAGGAACCCATGCTGCTACTTTTCAACTAACTGAACTGGATGGAATAGTGTAAATGACTGTTTTGCCTTTTAGGAGCAAGCTACTACGTGAAATCACTAAAGTTTAATATTTTGCTTCTGCTGCTCTTGTAATAGGTGTTGGGTGTTTCTGCCAAAAATGGCAGTTTCATGATTGTAGAACAGAAGTGACTTTATCTGTGGGGGTCTTGAAATTTTTTTTGCTTGTTCTTCCCTTCCTGTTCCCCTTATACCATTGGACAGGGAAGAACATATCTGAATTCTTACTGATGTTTTTGCTCGCAGGAGTAAGGGTATGTATAGGTGTGGAGAGCTCCTTTGCAAGGCTCACCTCCATTTCCCATTGTGTTTTGAAGGTGTAGGCTTTTCTTTCACAAACACCTCCTTTTTGTTAAGGAAAGCAATGAAAGCAGCCCTTCCTTTTTCTACGACAAATTTGAAACCTTATTATGCTACTGAGCTGAGTCAGGTGTAATGCCTTTGGTTCAGTTCTGGCTGTTCTCTGGGAAGGTTGAAAGCACTGTTTTGTTTCTTAGTCTGGTTCCTGCTCCTGCAAAGTTACTGTTTCCTCCCCTAACTTTGATCTGTCTTTTCAAAATAGAATGGCCAGTAGGGTCTCTGAGGACTGCTTTAGAGGACTTGTCAAAGTATATCTGTATAATCAGCATTTAATCAGGAGATTGTTTAAAATCTCCAGTTAAAAAAAAAAAAAGGGCTGTTTCTAAGACTTTCTAATTAAAAAAAAAACAAATGAAGCAATCCAAGCAAAAACCAGAAAATAACCCCACAAACCACCCAACCCAAAACCGTATGAAAATGAGGTTTATTGTAGCTGGGTACTGCTAATTAAACCAACAGTGTCTTAAAGCAGCTAGCTGTGACAGTTTTCTGTTTCAGTCTGTCAGACTTGAATTTGGCTTACACTTTCGAGTTGATTGTGTCTTAGTATAGAGAAGGAATTATAAATTGAAAGTGGTGACAGTTATCCAGTTCCTTTGCCTAGCTGTGAAAGGAAAACTTGTTAAATCTCAGTCATCTGTCATGTTTAAGGTATCAAAATAGCTGCGTCTGTTAAGCACACGTCTGCTGCTAAGTTACTTCTGGTTTAGTTTTACTCCCTCATATAAAGCAGTAGCAGTTGTAAATATAAACAATAGTAGAACATGGCACACTAGCAGAACATGGCATGTGTCTTAGGAAAAGATTAAGTTGTGTTGCTTACTCATATTACTCTCTAATGCACTACTACAAGGTAGGTGTTCTGCTGTTAGGATTATTGTAGTGAGTGGTGTAGGAAAAACTACTGCATTTCAGCTTTGAGTTTTAGATTAACATAAATCACAGTAAGTTTCCAAAGAAAGGAATTCATCTCTCTCTATTACTATGAAAGTGCCTTGGAAGGAAAGAGGAATGTCTGTGCTTAACTTTAAAATACTAAAGAATAACTAGATAGATTCAGAAGTAAAAAGCCCTGGTAAAAAACTTTGGTTAGAGCTTTCAGCTCTGATTATACTTCTTCATGTGAAGACAGGGCTTGGGGTATGTGCAGCCTTTGGGCCCAAAATCAAGATCTGTAGCCCTAGTACACCAATGTCAGTAAGATTAGTCTCACATAATGTTCTAGCCTTTATTTTTCCTTTCAGAGACATCACAGGCACATATGCACACCACATCCTCATCAACATATATATATATATATATACACATACATATATGCAGTGCTGAAAGTAGTGTAACAGTGACTCACTGTCAGTGGATCAACAATTGAACGTGAAACATGGTTATTTTTGCAGAAGTGCATTTCAGTCCCCAACCAACAGGCGTGGAATTAAGAGCTTTTCTCTTTCAGTAACATCGCTGGGCAAGTACTGAGCAGTTTGTGCTTGGAGTCTTTGGAAGAACTGGTAACTGTTACACTTTGGTTCTGTTACTTGGAATTGAATGTGGAATACATGAAATCTTCAGCTGCATATTACTTGTCTGTAAACAAATGCCTTTCTGAAGGTGTGATTAAGCAAATGTTGCAGAGACCTGCATCTTCAGAACTGCTTTAGATACTGCATCACGTTTAACGGCTGTGCTATATCTGAGATGAACTAGCAGTTAATGAACTGAATAAAGTTTTTGCTCACCCTGTTTTGGCAGCTAGTGTGAATTCTTTGGTTTGTTGTCCAAAATGGTTTACAGCTAGTTAACAGACTCAGTAAGCTGTTGTCTGCTGTTAGCATTGGTAGTTCCTCAGTCTAGACTTGTACAGTAGCTACTACTTGAATCAAGGAAACCACGTTTACCTAATGTATTTGAATTGGCAAGATAGCTTTGACAAAAGGTAAAACTAGTAGCAACAAGATACAGATTTATTCTGGTAAGAGAAAAAAACAAGTTGACCTACTATAATGCAGGAATTCTGTGCTTGCTAGTGGTTTGTCATATTTCTGTTACTTGCAGATTTATTTCTGTTACTTGCAAATTGAATGCTATTTTCAGAGGTCTTTCTGGCTTTAGCAAAGGCTCTGGACCTTGGAAGAAGCTATTATAGGGAAACTAAAGCCTAGTAACCTTTTCGGTGAAGCTTCTACAGAAGTGAAAGAAGGCCATAGGCTGGAAAAGGTCTGATCAGCAGGAGGAAGGGAACCCAACAAAGAACATTAAGTAATAGTTTATTTGAGAGATTATGTTAGTGTGCAAGAAAGAGGTGGACAAAAGCACCTGGAAACGTGACACCAGGACAAATATCATCTGTTGTGAGTACTGAGCAGAGATTCAGTCCTAGGTGCATGATGTTTTGTGAAGAACAGTGAAATGCATCTTGTAATTGCAGAACTCAAAACATGGGAAGAAACACAAGTGGGTCTATAGAGAAACCGTGTGTAAAGGAGGGGTACTGAGGAGCCCTTTGACTGAGTATAAAGCCAAGAAACTGTCCTGACATCTGAAGAGAATGGCATCAAAGCACTGATGGAAGCAAGACCAAGCTCACAAGAGCAACAACTTGTCTGCTTCTGCATTTGCATAGTTGCTGTATTTCTGCTATGGGCAGCAATCACTTTTGAATTCTTTTGGTGTCAATAATAGCTGCTGCCAAGGGTAATCTCCCTCTATGCTGTCAGGGTACAAGGAGTTTGGGATTTACCACTTCATCCTCCTTGTGGCATAGCTGGCATAGTTGGAAGAGATGCGGCTTGGAGGTACCAGTGACACACAAGTAGCTTGCATCTGTTGCTGTGCTGGGCTGAGGGATGAAAACAGTTGCTTGGACTGTGGTTTTGCTGGAGATTCTTTAGTAGCCTTGTGTGAAGCACAGAATCAGACTTTACAACTCGGAGAGTTATAAAGCAGGTATGTTTATTACGGTGCTGGGTACAAGGGCATCGCTCCTCCTAACTTGCACACCGAGGGGTTAAGCAAGCAGATATTTATTACACACAAACATGCATATTCATTAGGTTCCCGAGAGTTTGACAGGGATATTATAATTAGTTTAGATACTCATTATCATAAGTCTCCTCCCTTTTGGCGCTTGTGCACTCCCCTTTGATGGTTGTGGGCAGGGGTCTTCAAGATGAAGTAAGCAGTCTTCCTCAGGGTGCACTTTTCACCTTTGGCACAGTTGGATGCCCCAGTAATCACAAATTAGCTGAAGCCAACCATGTCTGCAAGTTTCTGATGGCTGGCAAAGATTTAGAACAGTCTGACCTTAGTACAAAATTTACTGCAAGCAGAACAGGATGGGCAGACAAGGAGTGTCCTGAACTAGCAGGTGTTCGGGAGTCACCGTCTCCAAACTAACTGATATTTAGAAGGATAGTCACTCATTAGAAGGATGGAAAGAAATAGATCACTCTTGTTAGTAAGACTACTAAATTCTGTTGTCACACCCCAGACTTAACAAACATTGTTCTCTATCTTAGA